TGCTTATAACTCCATAACAAGGCATTCTAGAGAAAAATTACCTGTATCAAAAAGAAAGCTGATAAAATTTCCTAAAAAATAAAACTAGAACCAGCTAGCTTTTTTTGTTTGAGTGCTAGAGCACCCTACAGATAGTTATAGTATGGTCATAGTTTTATCCATAATCTTCGAATTCCAGACTTTCAAAGACTTGAGACATACAGTTATATATATCATATGTGTTGGAAATTGTTCATACAAGACAGATGGTATTGACCATCAGTGACAACCAGGTCTTCAACAAGTTCTAAATGGTGTTCAAGAGCTCGGAAATAATCATCATTGAAACAAAAAAAGTTAACTCCACCTGCACGTGACCTGGTCTATGTGGTGAGAGGTAAAGAAAGTCATTCAACATGTCAGTACCTTAAATGATGAATATTTCTGAACCGTTTACTGAACGTTCACGTATATGAACACTGACGTAGAACCTGTTTACAGCTGATGTTCAATACCATCTGTATTGTATGAAAAATTTCTTACAAAAAAGAAAGAAAAAGATTCGCATACCACCAACCACCAACCACTTACAAAATCAACATATCAATCAGACGGCCTTCATCTTCTACCAATGCCCAATTGGAACCAATATAAAACTATCTTGAAACCAATACCAATAGTGAGGAATGTTGGTTCACAGCCGAGAATTTAATAAGTAAAATAGAAGGTGCCAATTTTCTTCATTGGAAGAAAATTGTTGCTCGTCAAAAAGGTAAGTATGGTGAAAATATCTTCATTACACAAACCCAAAAAAATACCTATATTGTTTGTTTAAAAAATACGGATCACAAAATTCTTATGGAATTCTGATAGGCAGACCAAAAAGTATCATCAGTAGCCAAAGAACCACTTCCTATAGTTAGGGAAGCAGTGGCAATAATGGTTGAAAATATACGCCCATGCATACACACATTGGCTCAGTGATTTGATACATCCCATAGAGAGATAGAAAAAAAAGACTCGAATGGTTACAGTAAATAATAATAGCAGAAACCCTTTAACAGATTTTGTTTATAATCTCAATTTAAATATTTGCAAGCTCAATAAAAAAAATATATTCAACTACGATTATTTAAAAAAAAACTGGAAGATTTTATCTCACAGTCAAATTGGCACCCCTCATTTTTTTTAACTTTTAAATACTATTAATTTAGTTCAGTATCTTGTAGGCAAGCCATTATTTTCTACAACTTCTTTCAGTCTGTAATGGAGTCGAACAGTTTTTTGGCGAATTCTCGGCTTAGGCTGTTGTTCCACTCTTCAGGGAGATATCTTTTTAAAGTCTGCTTTGCTAAAAATTTAGTGTATTCTAATTTCTACCTCCAATTTTGCCTACAGGTGTTCTATCACATTAAGATATGGTGACTGGTAGAGTTTTTGGAGTCATTTCTCTGATAAAAAATAAATTTGTTTTTTAGCTCCAGATTTTCTGAAATTTCTTTCAAGTTTCTTCTGAAAATGTCTATGTAAACATATTTATTCACTGTACCATATGAATATTTCAACTATAAAGTGAAGATTTACTTGACCACAATCCGCTATACGCGCCCACACCAAGAAACAGGACATAAGAAAAGAACATAAAACATATATTATAGGAAATTTTAACAGCTTTCCTTCTGACACAAGTCCTTTTTTCTTTTTCCCTTTTTTTTTAGCATGGTCTTTGTGGAGTTATAAGTGAAAAACTGAAACAACTTCCGAAATATTATATTTGTTGCCGTTTTTATGGTGAAACCATATCCGAATCTAGTTCGATAACTGGATTTTTAGCTTCAGCAATTTTTTCCTGAATCGACTTATTTCCATCACCAAATGTCTGGACTGTGACACTTGTACGATTATAGTTTTTTTGTTTTTGTTTTGAAGAGAATTTAATTATGTTTCAAATGATTTTAAAATGCACAGTTTTAGTTATTGGTCAACTGCAAAGGTTCATAATTGAAAATAAAAAACCAAATGAAGCTATATATACATATATATTACTAAATAATATCTCAAACGTAACTATTGAATTAAGCCATTAATTAAGAACCTCAAAAATTATAAAAAGATTATTAACATACTCAAATAAAGAGTACTGATTTAAAAGTTTGAACAAATCAAAACTAATCTAGAAACTTCACAAATTTAGGATAACATTACAGAGCAACTTTGATGCAATAAATTTCCAATGCAGAATATTTCCCCTCAAACGTGTTAACTTTTTTTTATGCCTTAAGTTACATTTAAAACTTAGTTTAGGATTTTGAGGGATGAAAACTTAGAGAAAGGGAACGATGATAGCAAAATTTAGTTAACACGTTAGCTGCGGTTGCGATACATGGGTTCTGATATTCTCAACTGCCAAGCGGCCGGGATCGTTTTGAAGTCGCACATCATACGAAGTCTCTAAAATGATCATTTTTAAAAATATTTGAATGGGAGTTGGATAGATGTAAGGATAGATACAAACATAAATAATCATTATATCTGATATAAAGCTGTAGGACGCCAGAGCCCGATAACATACTGGACTGATAGAAATGATTTCCCTACGATATCATACCCCGGCGTTCGATACATACTTCTGCCATGACAGGACAGTGCACATGCATGGCCTTGTCTTCTTCAGGCCTCTGTTGCGCACTAGCTGTTGAGAATTCCTCTTGCTTATGTATCTCACCAAGAAGAAGAAGAACTTGATAGCAGTAATAGTGAGTGTGATGTGTTGAGTGATGATTCAATAGCGGACAAGGATTATTTACTTACATCAAATTCATCCGGAACAGAGGTCGCGTAGGGATGTAAAAGGGACTTTTCTTATCCTCAAGTGCATACTATCCCTGCCCAAGGAGTTGTAAAACAGGATCATAGCTGCAAGCCAGTAGAGGTAGGGTCTACGAATTTTGATTATTATTGAGATCGATCTCTCTTAAAAAATTTGAATTACCTGATGACTACGCGCCATTAAATATTTTCAATAGAGATATTAAGTTATACTGTAAAGGAAACAAACAAAGGGAATCAGTCAAAATTATTAAGTGAATGGCAAATGCCCGGTATTACTGATTATGACAAACCCAAAGCAAAGAATGGATGTGAAAAACACAGGGAAAAAGAAAGTCAAGAATAGGATTGCCTGTTTTAAAACCCCAAGGCGCTATAGATTACAAGACGAAAAATGGGCAGATCTTAGTGACCAAATGTTAGCATAACAGTCAGTGCTATGAAAGGGCTTGAAGTAAAACAGAAAATTGATGTTTGAGATAATGTTTGGAACGCCGGTGGTCAATACTTGGATCATCTTTAACATGAAAAAAGAAAAATCCATATCAATTACAGTTTCAATTGGTTCTTACTGATGAACTCGCAATTCAGCACTGACCTCAGTCACCATGTCGGATGCGCCGTGTCCATTCTTTTATTAAGCTGTCAGGTTAGGGAAGAAAAACGCCATCAGTACTCCTTTGGTATACCTTTCTGTACCAAATCATTAGAACTCATCGACCCTCCTATATATTTCACAGCTTACAATTCAAATACTCCATCCAATCCCGTCCCTCTAGATCTCGTACTTCCGACCTCTATCCTCCTCCTCATCGAACTGCTGCGTTTGACAAATCCTTTGCAATACAATCGGCCTCCCTCTGGAATTCCATCTCTGCTGATAGTCAACTCTTATTGTAAATATATAATCTAATTGTAACCACACAGATATACAATCAGGATTTATATTTCGTTCTAGAGGGACAACAGTCCCAGAATAATAAAATATTTTTTCATTTCATTTAAAAAAAAAACAGTAAAAGCAGAGCAGAGAATACTACAGAGAACTGAGAAAGATTCTAGGATGTAAGTGGGCATTTAAGAAAACGCGGAAAGTTACTAGTTTCTGTGAGGACTGTGATGGTATGCCCGGATTCTCTCTGCAACACTTCAATCAGTATCACAAGCAGCTAGCAACTTAATACTTCACTTTCATTTTGCTTTTTCTTAAAACAAATTTTAATGTAATAGTGAATACCCAAATATCTATATATTTCTTGCATTGCCACAATAAGGTACTTATTACATAATATAATTGTTTATATTCCATTTTTATCTTGACATTGAAAAAGTATTACACAAATAATGAATAATGTATAAATTATATCATCAAAATTATAATTATATACAATAAATAAACGTTCTCATTTCACTTTCAATATTTAAGAATTATATCCCTAAAAATTCCATTTTTTATTACACTTCATTACTGAAATAAACAGAAATAATAAAAAAATCATCATATAAATGGCAACGGACATAGGACTCCTCTCCTACAATTGCTGGCCATTAATAAGGATACAACCAACGGATAGAGGCACTGAGTAGAGAATTTAGTACACCTTTGTTCTCAAAAGATAGTGGTATACCTTGAAAATGATCTATGACTCCAGTGTCTGATGCCGTTAGGAACTTCATAACTAGTATCGGTCGCCGGGGACCGATCTTGTCGTGAAAGACATTTAAGAGATATCATGCTCAGCAGCTAACGTGTTAATGTTATCATTTTTGAAATCTGAGAATCATTAGGCGTGATATAGAACAAATTGATTAATTATAAATAAAAACAATCTTTTTGGAAAACTACATTGATAAGATTATACTTTAGATGTTACGGGCTGGTAATATGCTTACAACCCATTATTATGTTTGAGGAAACAATAGTACATTGGATATATTAAATATCTTTGTAAGAGCCCAGCTATTTATGAAAATTGATTCCATCAAACTTTAAATTGTACAATTAACAAATATAGGCATGGCAGTAACCAAGCCCAAAATGACCCACAAGCTAAGAACAAGTTATTAACGGGTAAGATACCCGACAGAGGCAATCAATACTGACGGCGCTCAAGGTATAATGCGGGTCAACATTGGGTTGGATCACTGATCAGTTGAAAACAACAGTTAATCAAAAAATTATTTATTTATACCTGTCCTTTGTGCAATTTTGCTTCGCTATTTTTCATAGCATGTGGGGAATCTTCCTTACCCTGGTAAATGAATATATTAATAATATTTAGAAGGACTAGGTGCATTTTTTAAAGGTACTAATCAAACGGTAAGTGAGCTCTTAAACCAAAATACTAATTTCAATTAAGATATGAAAATTTTGAAAAATTAATTTTGTTGAGATGGTAAAAAATAATTCTCCAGTATAAAATTATATTATATTCAGAAATTAAAAGTTGAATTAGTAATCCACAATGAAAGATCGAACTAACTGGGATAAACCTGAAAATAACTGTAATAATCTTTCCTTATTTACTTGAATGTTAAATTGTATACACAACATGCCACCAAAAGTAACAGTCAACACAATAACCCTAATTATTTTATTTCTACTTTCAGTTGCTGATATAGACGATGTAGATTTCCGGTCACGCAATGTGGTCTTACAGAAGTATACTCCAGCTTTTTTTGATGGGTGCACATAGTATGGAGGGATCACGCATCACATTTCTTCGGACGGGCCATGTCTCCACACTGTAGTGGCAAGCCACAGCTCACCCATAGCTTCCTAGCCGATCCCTTTGGTCCCAATCTGGTGTTGTCCTTCCAAACTCAATTGGGTTCAAAGACAGGGACAAATTTATCTAGATTTATGGATTATGGCTGCTCACAGTCAGCTGGTGCACGAGGACATATACTTCATCCCCTGAAACAGACTATCCATGGACTGAACCTCTGTGAAACTGAAGTCCTGGAAAATCTCATCAAAATTCTCAATTACGATACATGAGGTAAGGTTATTACTCCTAGGTCCAGCCCTAATTATACTTATTTAAACTCCAATAATAGCATGATACATAGGATTCCGTTTATTCGGACGGACAAGCTTGTCAACCCAACAAGCCTACTTCAGTCGGTAGACTGCAGGAATAACGCTCTGAATAGGCGTGTCATTAATATAGGTATACAATAGGCCTTCGTGGACGCAGTTAATTTCAGTCAGGAGAAAAAAAAATGATATAAGCAATATAGAAGCAACTTCGATAATAGTAGTGAGCTATTATTAATAATCACAAACATAAAACATTAATTGAGCCACTAATTGACTTTAGTAGTTTTGGAATTACACCCTAAATCTTTATCAACAATGTCCCAACCCAACATAAATTAATTTCATTCTGAATCTAAATTCAAAAAATAAAAAAACATATCTAACTGCTATATTAATAAAATTTTCCATCTCAACAAAATTTATAACTGCTCGCGGAGGGTGAACATTCACCTTTTACGAAACTGAAATGAAAACAGTCTCTTTTTTAAATAGATAATTATATTTAAGAAAAATTTAATCCTACCGATGAATGGTGTCTTGAGGAGTGATGATAACGAGAACGATCATCGTACCATCCTTCCCGATAATATCCACTGGGAGGAGGGTAGTCCCCAAACCTATCTGATACACTCCGGTATCTCTTTTCACCTTCTTTAGATCTGCAAATTAAGATAAAATAAGTAAATGAAAATATGAGTTTAAAATAAATAGAAGTTCATCTCAAATCTAATCAGAAATCAACTTGATCAAGGCGGTATTGTCTTGATGTAGTAAAAAAATAACTGTTTATGTAACAAGAAATGTGCTAAGGTGGCTGGCCAGTGGTATACCTTTATCAAATAAAAATATCACTGGGTATTAATTCAGAAGAAGTCAGGATGTATAAATCACATAGAGGGGATGAAAAACGAGCAGCTTGCGTTCTAAAAACAGTCCAGTGAATCTACTAGGTGCGGTGAATTTTTTTTTATTTGACCGATTATCTAATACTTCTTCTACCTGAGATAAATTAAGATATACAACTTTTTTTTTATTATAGAAAGTCAACTTTCTTTGTCAGCAATGAAAACTAAACTATTATCGGTTTATTCCAGCGACAAATGAACATGTTTAGAATAATTGAAAGAAGCCAAGTGAATCAAGGAGTTTCAGTTTTGAATTGTTGTACAAACATATATAATGTCAAATAAAAAAAAAAATCTGTACCACTACAACCCATGAAGGGTCTTGGGTTCAGTACTATTTAGGAAAAGTAATGTTTCAAGGCCAACGGTTGTGCAAGGAGGGGATTTTACCGAGATCACGCTCAACCACCAGGTTTTCCTCCTCAATTAATTATTTTAATTAAGGATGCCCACTTTATAGAGGCTGGGTGTGCTCCAGGAGGGTTCTATTTATCCTGGGTTGCCCCACGGCCAATAAACAGAATAAATAATTTTTCTGCCGTGAGCCGGAATTCGAACCTGGGAACTTTAGCATTGGAAGCGCAGTACCCTACCACTGAGCTACCCCACTCCCTAATGTCAAATCAAACGAAACATAAATTGATTTGAGTTCTGGTATTGAAAATTAATGACAATAAAACACTCTTTAAATTTGAAATTAAAGAGATAATATTTACCTTTCATGATAATCATCATAAACAGGACTGGATGGTCGAGGGTAATAGTCGTTTTCTTTATCGTATTCTTCTTGTCCAGATATTCCAAGTGTCATCTTCTTCTCTTCAAAATCAGCATCAGTTTCTTTCCGTTTGGTTGACCTCCGCAACATCTAATAAAAAAATACATATATATATAACAATAATAATAATAAAAGACATACAGTAATGGTTAAGAAATATAATTAAATAAGGAATAAATATGATAAAGCAAGTTTAATTCACTTCTGAATTTTTTGAAATTATTAATTATTAATTATGAGAAACTAGTGTTTTTATCTGAATGTATAACTTAAATCTGGATAGATGTAAATGATATAATTTCTTTTATAATTCCAAATACACTATACACATAAAATACACTATGCACATAGTTAACTGCTTATAATATAATATGTTATAGGAGCTGCTACTGCAAACTGAGACCAAACTCAATTTGAGTATGACTAGCTACTATAATTTAATATAGCACAATTATTTCAGTTTAAGTGTGATAATCACACTTTCTGTGGATCATGTGCAGTAAATTAATCTATACTTATAAATAAAGCTGAACAGTTTGTTTGTTTAAACGTAGAAATTTCAGTAACAACTATTCTGATTTTTAAGAAATCTTTATTTAGGGTTTAGGCTTTATAACATAACATCTAGCTACAATCCACAGTAATAGAGTTGTAACCATTATCACCAGTCAAACATGAAAACTGACAAATTACATTAGCATAGATCTCCATTAACTTATTTTAAATGTTTAAGCAGGTTAAAGTAGACTTAAGAGAAGATTTCTTAAGTACAACTAAATACAATCTGAATCAGATTAGGGTGGAGATTGCCTACATTTTCAAATTTATTAGTTTAGATAATTTGTTAAATAACTAATTATTTGAAGGTACTAATAACCAGGAAAGCTTTGAGTTTTTTAATATCATCCTACAATATTTAGAGACAGAATAATATCCTTAAATATCAGTCAAATCTGGGAAACTAAAAGCAATTATGCTAGCAAATATTCCCTTAAATAGCATTTGTAACCATTATCACCAATCAAAGATGAAAACTGACGAATTACGTTAGCATAGATCTCCATTAACTTATTTTAAATGTTTAAGCAAGTTAAAGTAGACTTAAGAGAAGATTTCTAAAGTACAACTAAATATAATCTGAATCAGATTAGGGTGGAGATATTATTAATAAATTATATATAAAGCGATATTCATCCAACATATGTTGCCTTATCTTGAATAGGTTGCAGAGAAAACCAACTACTAAGTACTTATACTTGTATAAGATAGAAACTGTTCTTACTTTTTAAAAAAGATAATAGAAGCGATGTTGATAATTATAGAGGTATATCCTTACTTAACACGATGGCTAAGTTATTTACCGGCATCATTGCAAGGAGAATAATATGGGCGGACTCTCAGAATCTAATACCCGAAGAGCAAGCAGGATTTAGGAACGGAAGAGGCTGCATTGATCATACCTTCACCATCTCAGTGCTAATCGGAATAACGTTTAAGACAGAAGGAAGATATCTATATGCCACCTTCATCGACCTAAAAAAAGTTTTCGATTCAATTAATCACGGACTTCTTTGGAGAAAGCTCATTACCTTAGGAGTCGGAGGAAAAATCATCAAAATTATTAAAATGCTATACGATAATGCCTCAATCCAAATTTCGGTTAACGGACAACTTTCAGAAGATATTAACATCACCTTAGGACTTTTACAAGGTGAAAGTCTGAGCCCAACCTTGTTTTTATTTTTATTTATCTCCGACATAGTTAAATACTTTCATGACAAAGGAGCAGCAGGGGTAAGCATAGATACCTCACACAAGGTAACAATGCTCCTTCTAGCTGATGATATTATTCTCTTAAGTAATAGTAGGTATGGAGCACAAAAGAATATCAAAATATCACAAGAGTATTGCAGTAACAATTCTCTTACATTAAATGTAGACAAGTCTAAAACTATTGTTTTCCACAAATCTCCACGGCATAAGCAGCTCAAACCGTTGTATTGGCATGAGAATATATTGGAGTATACAAAAAGGTATACTTAATTGCGAGTTCCCTTCACGTCAGGAAAATTTAAACAAGCATGTGAGCATTTTACTCAGAAGTCATCAGTGGCATCTGTGAGAGTTATAGACATACTAAAAAAAAGGAAAAGTGACTCCTGGGAAAGTAAAAAAGTGTTATTTGACTCCATGGTTTCATCAATATTGCTTTATGCTTTTGAAATATGGAGTCCCAATTATCTTGAGGCAATCTACAGGGTCCAAATTAAATTTTTAAAGCAACAGTTTGGTTGACCCAGAAATATTCCAAACTACATAGTCCGCCTCGAAACAGGAAGAGAACCATTAAGCATGAAAGTGATAAAAAAGATGATAAATCTATGGACCAAGCTTGAGTTCATGCCAGAAGAGCGACTCCCAAAACTATGTTTTAATAGACTTAAATTATTAGACAAGGATAAGCCTGACATAGACTTCAACTGGGTGACTCAATTTAGAGCAATAGCCGAGCTTAATGCCTTTGCAGAAGAGCTTTCTGTTTACCACACAAACGGACATTCTGGAAAAAGTACACAACCATTATTTCTCAGCCGAAATACAAAGAACTTTAAACTCAACTAACTACCCTTAATACAGAATGCTATGCAGTTACAATGCTTTCAATCCCGAAACGTACCTTACATTCAAAGTTCATATAAATAAATTGAGATGAGTTAGTCAATTAAGAGTTGCAAAACAAGAACATATCAGAATCTATGCAAAAACCACAACTTTTTCAATTGAGTCTCAAGAAATTTGTATATTATGCAATAAATTTATCTACAATAGTCTACATCACATTCTCCTTCACTGCCCAGCATACAATGAATATAGACAAAAATTCCACCATAACTTCATCTCAGAATCTTCCGACAACCAGAAAATCGAAACCATAATGAATATCGATTGTATAGATAAAGTAAACAAAGTTTGCTATTATATGATGGGAGTACACGAAGTGCATACACAAAATTGTTGATCAAAGCCCATGTTCTATTAAGTGTCTGTTTTTAGTTTATGTTAAAAGTAATATTTTGTTTGTATATACAAATATTTTTATTTTTTATTGATCTATCATAGTAACAGGCTTATTTAACTATTTTTATGCAGTAATCGTTTTATGTTTTTAATTTTTATTGTTTTTCTTGCTTTGTAAAACCCATTATGAACGTAAAATATTGTAAAGTTTATTTATATTTAAATGATATGTATGTAACTTGTAAAACTATATTATTCTACAATAGCCAAGCTAGGCTCTATTTGTATGGAGAACCCCCCAAAAACAAATAAAAATTTCTATCTATCTACTTTTATAAGATAGGAAAAAACATTTGTTTTCACCGAAGTACTGTAAACATTTTAATACATAATACATTTGTAAAACTTCTGTTAGTATAAAACCATAGAACTGAAAACTTTCCCTTTTGATTTGAAATAAAATTTGGATGTTATTCAGTCATTAATTAGATGCACTTGGTCATGTATTCATCATGTGTATAAAAAATCTGGTATAGTAAGCACATCACACAACTTTAATTTACCACTGTACTTTGTCTAGAAATAGGTAATTTCTTATATAGGGAGGTGAAAATAAAAAGTAAAGATGATATACCATTTTCACTTAAAACAATTACTAAAACAGTACATCTTGATTAACCTCAATAGAGAAAATTATAAAGCTTTTTCGGGGTCTGGCACTTTAAGGAGTATGTGAGAACAGGCTGATTAGGGTCTTAGGTATTTATATTTTATTTATCCCTGAGGAAACTTACTTTTAAAGTCCATAATAGCACCTATTGACTGTCACAATCCAGTGGCATATTATTAGTACAGTTTAACTGTCTTCTCAGGTAAATAAAATGTCATTAAACAGTTGAAGTTGAAGTCTGCCATTTCAATTTGCCCTCTTTTGGGATTGCAAAGCATCACTTTATCCTGAATTCGTATAACACCAATCCAACTTAAGCAGTTATTCTTTGAATATTCAGAAAGGTTTTCTTCATACTAAAAAAACTGAACATTTTTTCAAAATCACGCCTTCTACCAGGATTCCCAACTCTCTGATAGCAAATTCCAGAACTATAATAAATAACATGCCAAACAATCATCTAGCCCAAGTCTCGTGTGAACATTAAAAGTTCAGATAGACATAGTTCCAGAAACTCTTATAGAGCTCTAATATACATTGCACATGATTTTAAGACTACAATAATGTAGTAAAAACTGCTTAAAAAAAAAAAAATGGTTTTTCCAGTAACGAAAGCACTTAAGGATTTTCACATCAGACATAACTTGTAAATCATTTAATAAACAACAGTAATGACCCTAAGCAAACGGTGAGTAATTTATGCAAGAAATTAAAAAACTCCTTCTAGTGTACAACGCTCATTAAAATAAGTTTTATATTTGCTGTATGTTTTTTCTCACCTGACTAAGCTCCAACAAACTTTCTTATTATATCTATGGTAAACTATACCCCAACCATTAATAAATTACGTTTTAAACATATATTAAATAAAAATAAGGAAGCCAGCAATACAAACCTCTTTAGCTTGCCTGAGGCCTCTTTCCCAAGCTGATTCACCCGGCGGTTCTTCCCTGCGCAGGACTGGCTGTTGATAAGGAGGAGGCCCCATCTGAAATTTAATTAATAAAATATATTTAAATTCACAGTTATTTATTCAGCCTAAATTAAATTCAAAGATAAAAAAAATCATTATTATTTGGAAGTCATGTTCATTTTAAACATCATTTTATCACATGTCAAGCATGGTATTGGTTGTATGATTATTCAAAACTGGAGAAATAAAACTTAAAACCTAATAAATTTTAAAGGATTAAGATAATAAAGAACATGAGCATAAAGATAACATTTCTACAACCTAACATGTTTGTAGTTTCAATTAGAGAATGTGATTCAGAAAGAAACAGAAAAATTAACACCATGTTAGGATTGGTTTACACCATTTAGTTTTAAGACCAAACTCTTAAATCAGATTATGGTAAATTTTTAAAGAGTAAAATTTGATATATTTAGATACATTAATCGGGGGCTGTGAGAGCTAATCACACCCACCTCTTAAATCAAAACTATTGTGAACCGAAAGAAAAGCCGGATGGATTAATAGGAAACGATGTCTACAGGACTTTAAAATAGTCTCCTGGAATGTTTTATCATTATACCGACCTGGAACTTTATGATGGAATGATCGTTCTTGACATTTCTCCACAGCTACCCCGCCTTGTCAGAATGACCATGAAGGTTAGGTTACTCAGTGTTTGGTGAGTGTCTGGAGATACATCTAAGATTTCCGTAACCACAAGGGAATCAGACAAATTGATTGTTTAGTATGTTTGCTGTTTAATGTTGCATTGGAATCTGCTATAAGAGAGTCTGGATTCAAAATAGGATGGACGATTTTCAACAAATTGTGCCAAATTCTTGCTTATGCCGACGATTTGATATCTTAGGACATAGTTTTTAGAATACAGAGAGCACCTTACTAAATTTGATAAAAGCAGCCGTTAAATTTGGGCTGCAGGTGAACGAGCCCAAAACAAAGTATATGCTCTGCAATCCTAAAAGAGGAGAATATCCAGGAGGGAGAGTAAAATTTGGGGAATTCAATTTTGAATGTGTCGAGAAATTTATTTACCCAGGAACAATGTTGAACTCAAATAACAATATGCAACCAAAGATTTAGAGATGGATGATGGCTGCTAATAGATGCTATTATGTGCTACAGTGGCATCTAAAAAGGAAATATCTCTCAAGGACAACCAAGATATGTATCTATAAGACCCTGATCGACCTGATTAGAAAATTAACAGACCTTGTCCTCACCTATTCATCTGAGTGCTGGACGATAACAACAGCACCAGAATCAGCTCTTTTGAAAGAAAGATTTTAAGAAGAATTATGGGGCCTACGTGAATCAATGGTGTATGAAGATCGAGAAAAACACTGAGCTTATGAATTTCTACAATGACCTTGATATCATTCATTTAACAAAAGGTTGGACGTCTAAGATGGGCAGGGAATATTGCATGAATGAATAGTAATGAAAATACCAGATTGATCCTAGAATACAAAATATTTGGATTTAGAAGAGTTGGAAGACCTTCCATGCATTGGGTGGATTGCATAGCAGCAGATGCTCAGAAGCTGTTGGGTGTAAGAAATTGGGAAAGTAGCAGCACAAAACAGAGAAGATTGGCAGCTCCAACTGAGGGAAGCCAGGACTCTTCAATGAGTTGCGGGGCTATAGAAGTAGGTAAGATATATTAAGAGCTTTGATATATAAACATATTTAGATTTGAAATAGAAAAGTGCAAAATGCACACAAATACTGATGATGAAAAAAAAAAAAGAACAATAGGAATGCTATTAAAGTCTAATAAATAATAAAAAATTCCCTACATGTTAGAACAATTGAGTTTCACAATATATCAAAACTCATTAACACCGTTGTTTAAAAAATAAATAATTCTTCTAGACTTTGATCAACACAATTGACCATGTAAACTGGTCATTATAGAACTCTTTAGCTATTATATTATGCTACATTATATCAGTAAAGACACAATCTTTGTTTTAAACATTTTAAATAAGAATATGGCTTACTTGCATACATTAGAAAAGTGTTATAACAAATGATATATAATCTTAGAGAATTAAAAAAAAAAGAAGAATAGTTAATTAACTTTTTTATAGAGCCCTGAAATTTTTTGAATTTAAACCAATTGTAGAAGTTGATATCAACCAGTAATATGCAATTTAAAGTTTGAAGTAAATAAATATTGAAAAGTAATATTTACTATTGGTGGCCTTTCTATCGGAGGTCGGTAGCAATCAATAGGAGGATAAATGTGAGGAGGAGGAGGTCCAGAGTTCATAGGCACAAGTGGCCGCACCATGTCAAACATTGTATAATTTCCTTTGTCCGTCACTCCAGGATGAACAAACCTATATAAAAAACATCATAATATAGAAAAACAAAATGTATTAATGAATTTAACAAAAATTCCATTATTTGTATTAACAGTAATAGGAAAAAGCACTTATACTAAGCAATTTAAAACACTATAAAAAGAAGTTTATTTAACAAACAAAAATATAAAATTATTAAGTTATTAAAAAACAATAAGCACTAGGGTAACTGCACCAGGGTTACTGTGATAAAATTAACCTTGCATGCTTAAGGAAAATTTATTGAACATTTAAGTATAAAAAACTTTTGTCAGAAATTAAGATGCTAGAAAGTTAGTAGCAATTAGAGGAGAGAATAAAATAATTATGTAAATACTGTTTAAAGTAACAGTGATATTTAATTATGTGAGTAATATATTAATAAAAAGCATGCACTAAAAACCATCTAGCCACCAAAACTAACATTAACAGCTTTAAATTACATGCGTGAAATAAATTTTCCATCGCCTAAACTTTTTTCCTGTTCAAACAAATAACACCACTATTTAAGAAATAAATTAAATTAAAAACTGCCAAGCACCCGAATAAATATTGGTTTCTCATGTCAAATTACCAATAAATTAGACATAATTATTGCATATTATGTTAAATTATGAATACTATTGAGTTTGATAGTTTATTCGTAAAGAACTGTTTCAACAGTCAAATTTTCTGGGCTAAGTAGTAACAGATAAAGAATCCCCACATACATTATTAAAGTAAGGCTCGAAATCGGTTTTGTACCAAATATAAGCTCCTGTCATGCTCAAATACCATGAATGGGCTATCGTTGGATTCAGAATTTCATGAGGGGTTAGCGAATCGTACTCTCCACTTTTGTTTTTCTTTCTAAAATAAATTAAGTCAATATAAACATTTTGCTAGGCTTCAATACTGGAACGTTGGGTAAGTCTGTAGATCGATACAGGACAAATTGAGCTTTGCAGATTTTGATGCTTACATCAAGACCTGGATAGTACCTTTGGAACTATCGAGCCTTGCGTTTTTAAGCCCAAAAAAGTACTATTTTTGAGATAATGCAAGACAAAGAATTCGCATCCACACAACCTTACATTAATTGTAGTACTATCATGGAATACATGTCTTATTTCGTCGACTTGAGGTCCCTATGATAGAGCCTAAATTTATACCTTTATTCTCAGTTCTATATTTCAACACTGCAATCACCACCTCTGGAATCAACTTACTCATTGTCTGCATAGATAACTTTTTCAACTAAAAACATCACTAAAATGACACCACTCAAAAATGTTGAAATTGGAGTTAGTCATTCTGTGGTTTATAAAAGCAAAGAAAGTTGTATGGCTATAAAAGCAGGAGTGTCTAGATTTTTATTACCTGTAGATATATTAAATAGACATTTTGTAATTATAATGGTCTTAATGGCTTGTTATCTGTAAGCTTTAAGCTTTAGCTCCGTTTAAAATGCACTTAAAAATTTTTTATTATAGCCCAGCATTGCCAGAAAATAATTTCTATTCAAAGTAGATCGGTAAGTGAAAGTTGTGTGTTGCGCGCACCAGATTTTTATTCAAAAAATAGTTATTTTTTACCAGTCATGGTCTTGGTCTTGCAACAGTTAGGCAGCCTTGGTCTTGATCTTGCAAAGTGCAGTATAGGAGTATATAAAAATATTGTTTATTAAAGGTATTTTTTGACAGTAAGCCATATCAACGTTAATTCTTCATCAAATTCCAAGATTGAGCCACCAATTTTGAAGGTTTCCTTCACCTTCAGGCGGGAAAAATAGTCCAATCATTCCGAAAATTCAGGCAAAAAAGTTATGAAAGAAAACAAACTTCACTTACGAATAACTAAAATATTACACTTTTTTTTTGGTTATGTTCATCATTTTATAAAAGATTACTAAATTCTCTACAATAGAAAAAAAATCTTCGAAATCGAACAATTATTAGCGAAAATACAGCTTACTGAAATTTGTGAACATGTTGGTTCTAAACATTAATGAAACTTTAAATTAATTTTTGTTTCCTTTGTCGATTATATTTAGTGAGAAAATAACAATTGATTTGTCTATCTTATGATACATTGCATTATTTCATTTTCTGATTAATTTGTCAGTTGATCACTGAACAATATACTGTACGATTTTTTTCTCTCGCACGGGTCTACTAGTACTTCATAAATTATTAAAAAATGCAGTGTTTTCAAGAGAATAGCAGAGGCTCATTGTGCAAAAATGATCAAATATCATGAATTCAGTGGAAATAATTATAGTCTAATTAATAAAAATTAATCATTTTCATTTATCAAACCACATCAGTTAGGTGTACTAGAGTTCAAAAGTAGTTCTCCTCTTAGAAAAGTATGAAGTATAAAATATAAACTAAAAAATATAAAACATGAAAGTACATGAACTATACTACTGGTTCTTTAACTTATTTAGTCCATGGAGAGCCTCCCTGAACAACTTTCTTCTTTTATTGCTGACCTCATCCAAAAATCGAGCATTTTATGTATTTTTGGTACTACTAATTGAGTGATATCGGATAAAAAATGTCTGAACCTTACAAGAGATACTCAGTAATGGCTAAGTGGACCTTAATTTAAAAATCACTGAATATAGCATGAACTCCTCATTTACTGATGGCCACATTAAGTTCAATTGCCCCTCTTAAATAGTTTGTTTCATATGTTTTGAGGGAATATATCAGTTTGGTAATCAACAATGCTTGTGTAATTTACAAAGATGAAGAAAAAAAAATTAAAAAGAATCATCTGTATGTTTTTTCATTACTTACATACAATAGCTTTTGTAACCTACAATGAAAAATTCAAGCTAACGATTCTTTTCTTAATTGTGGAGGGGAAAAACAAATCTTGGATTTAAAATTTATTTCTTGATTATAGTATAACTAAAAAATATATGGGATGATGAATGGTCCTTTAACATAAAATAGATTTGAAAAAAATTAATATCTTTCAGAATAATGAATAATATAATTGGAAGGCAGTGTCACAAAACAGAGAAGACTGGTGGCTCCAACTGAGGCTTTGCCTCTTTATGAGTTGTAGAGCCATTGAAGAAGAGAAGGATAATGATCCTGTTTAAATGGTTAGAATTATTTTTTTTTTTCTAATGGATAAATTGTTCAAATTAAAAGAAAGATATATTATTATTATGTTATATTTTATGAGATTTGATTACTTAAGAATTTAAATAGTAAATTACACAAAAGAATCAAGAAAAATTATAAAAGCTATTTAAGTAATGAAAAATAAGTTTTTAGTAGAAAAAATGCTGAAAGGAACAGTTAATGTAATTTTCTAATTCTTCTTAAGCAAAATTAAAGCATTTCTACTTTTTGTTTTTTGATGATTAAAGTTAGAAAATGGGAATATAAAATATTATAGAAAATACAGGTAGCACTAAACTACTCTTAGCTATATATATATAAAAAACAACAACACCACACTAGAGCATAAAAAACAAAAAAAATTTCTTGTGCAACCCCCTTACCTTGCTAAATAAAGTTTCAAATTTTCATTTTAATTTAAATTAAAAAAATGAAACCTTACCTGGGATTGAAGGTCCTGAAAGGAAAATGATGGCCTCTGCCCCGGATACTGAGAAAAGGTCTAGGGAACCTTGGCCGTATAGGAGGAAGCAATGCTTCCGGGTGTCGAAAGCTGGCACATGCAACAAACACCTTTGTCTATCTACCTAGCTTGGCGATTTTCTTTCTTACTGTAAAGAACTAGACCCACTGCGCAAACACAAAATGGTATTCAGTTTCAAATGGAGTTGCTCATATTATAATATTCAAAAAGAATATAGTTTTTACAAACATGTACGAAATAGGCTATCACCTATCATTTATTCCTTCATAGCTATAGATGTTTTCAAAATTATTAATGAAAATGCATCAAGTCAGAAACTATCCAGCTTCAAAGACATACTAACATTTATTTAAAGGCACATTAAAGTTAGGGTAACGAGGGGTAAGTATGGACTAGATTAATGAAGTTTGATTTTAAATGACTTTAATATCTTTATTTTATAAATATGTTCCTGAGACAATTACTTTTTACATATTCATGTTTATTAGATTGATTATTCAATTATGTAGTATCTATTACGCAGTTAACCCAGCATTGTGGGGTTAGAGTGTATGACGTATCTGGGAAAAAATTATTCTAGTGGCAGCGGTTGAGAGGCTAGTGCAAAATAGTTCATTTTTAGAAAATTATTTTACTGATGTTATAAAAAAATATTAAAACTTGTCCAAGATTCATATTTTACAATCTTCAGTGAGTCATAAAAATAGGATCCAGAAAATAATTGAATAAATGTATTTTAAAAAAGAGTTTTTATTTCAATGCACTAGTCTAGAGTTTATCAGGCCAACCATGAACAAGTAGACATCTATCCCATAACAGAGATCTACACAAAATCCAACAATAATTTTTTTGAAGGGAAATGTGGACTAACACTTCAAAACTAGAAAACTGTCAAGGAGATATATATCTTGAAAAACCACTTCTCAAGGTGGTGGACTGGAACACTAACAGGAAAAAAAAACAGGTCTGTCGTGAATAACACCAATACAGCTGTATAGCAGAAACGGAAAGTTCCAAATTAATAACAGTGGAACTGTTCTTTACAAATCTTAATATTTTATCTAACTCTATTGGCTGATTTTTGAACTATCAGCAACTATCTAACTATCAGCAAAACCAGAATGGACACAAGAGCAGAAACTGTTTAAAGTTCATGCTTGGTAATGTGCAGTTCAAGGTTTAGATTTAATAATAGGATTACCCACTTATCCCACAAATTATGTTTTATATTTGTTATATACGAGCTAAAGAGATACTTCTTACAACTTATTTACAGCTTTAACTTATTGAAAGGCAAAATGGACAACAGAGCATAGAGTAATAGAGCCATGAAATAGTCCAGACTAATCCAACAGGAGAACTCCACCTATGACATGATATTTACAGTAAACTGACCCATGGCCTATCCCAAGTAGCCCATACCGTGTACTCAGTATCTAAACTCCATTTCCTAGGGATGGGTAACAGCAGCACTAGTACTCTGGCGAGGCTGAAGATGGAGGATTTCAGAACTGTTAGTTAACCGCAACAGAATTAGGACAACAGGCAGAGGGTGATCGAGGATGCATGATCTATAAGATGTTTGTGCAGCAATAAAGAAAAAGAAGGCGATACAGATGATTTTACTAAGACAGCTTAGAAGAATGTACAGATTTCAACAAGATTCTTTTAAACAGAGAGACTAACAAAGAACTAAGAGTAATAACAGTAAGTAATGGAAAAAGCATAGCATTCTTTGAACAAATAAAAGAAAAACTACCCCAATCAATAATTTTAAAACATTCAGAACTCATATAATAAAAAATAAAAATTTTATTGATAATATATTTGTATTTTTTTTTTAAATATTTTTTATGTCATAGGAATATTGTGAACGATTACAATATTATTATATTGTTCACTCTCAAAAACTTTCTACGATTAATTACCCACTTTTCAAATAAAACATTACTACTGTACAATAAATGATAGCCCTTTCATTTCATGATTGTAATAAGTACTTACACTAAAGACAAAAGCAATGTTTTATTTTATTATTTGTCATTGACACTTAAAGCCAAGAGATTTCTTATTGATAATGCGTGGGTCTAGGTCTGTACATCACAGAAAAATATATACAGTTTTTGTTTTATGTCAAGTGGTATCATTTAGTTATTTACAAATCAGGATCAGATTTACATAATTTTACCTCACATATATTTATTCTATCAATGAAATAATCACTTATATCAAATAAATGATCAATTTTACTAGTTTCTTTAAAAATAAAAAATAATAATGAAATGATACCACTTTAAGAAAAATTAACAAAGATAAAAATGTTTTTCCCACTGCAAGGATTAAGAAAAAGCAATATAAGAGTAGAAATGCAAAACTTTAGAAGTAGATGTCAATTAAAAGCTATTAGATATATCATGCACATGCTCAAGAAGCTGTAGCGCAACTGCATATTATAACATACACAAAACATGCTATATGGAGACACAAACACACACACATTTATACATGATTAAAAATTAGTTTTACAGATCATTTAATAAAAGTATTAAACCAGAGAAGCCATAGATGTACTTGATACATACCTGCAGCTTGAGCCCCAGGTGCACTGCCCTCGGGAAAAGAAACGACAAACTGGACGAGGCTCAGTCTCCTCAGGTCTAACCTCCCCTTCATCGGACAGTTCTCCTTCTTCCAGCTCCTTAACTTCGCCGTCTTCTTCTTCTTCTGCATCTTTATCTTTTTTCTTAGAGGGGGAATCACTTTCTTCTGCTTCAAAGTCAAGTTGTTCAGCTTCTTCAAGGTTTATCCCATTTTTCTTTTCTTTTTCTTCTTTCTCTTTTTCAATCTAATTAAACATTTCATCATCTTAAAATCATAATGGGATTACAATGACAATAAATTGATTCTAAGAACTATTGCACAATAATAAAGATGTCATCAACTATCAGAAATCACAGATTATTAAGCTATAAAGTGAAATAAAACCAGAAAAATGCCTATTATAATAAAACTAGATAAACATTTAAGTAAAGGCATGAATTAGACAGAAAAGGCACACAAACAACTTCCATAACATCCGAACCTATCTGAAGCATTGGCATGTGTCTAATCAACTAATCAATAGCAGAATTGGGAATACTATAGGCCTCCTTGGCCGCAGTGCATTTTGCCAAAAAAAAAAAAAAAAAAAGGAATGAAATTGTGAATTAATACATCACTGAAAATAAACTACTTAAAATAAATTTTTAGGAACAAGATAGCTAAGGTAACACCTACTAGAGTATAGCATTTACAAATTATTGTAATTGAAATTTCACACTAATACCTGACTTTTTAAACAATTTTTCTGAAATTTATAAATTAGCAAAATTTGTCTAAAGATGCAATTAAATTAATTATGGAAACATTTTTTTTTTTTTAAAAACATTGACAAATTATCATAGAATGGTTTAATATTTCTAAATAGATAAACTTAAAATAAAATAACCCTAACTATGATTCATAAAAATTAAATTTATTGTATAAATATAAGTATATATATATATTTTTTAAGGCTTAGTATAATAATTGGGGCCGCAGTGGTCGAGAGAGTTAAGGCACCTGCAAAAATACACTTAACGCATAGGTGTTACACTAGACAATAAATTGGAATGGAACAGTCATGTGAAAAACACAACTAATAAAGTACTCAAATACCTAGGAAATTGCAAAAATATTGTAGCGAGAACAAGGGGTTTAAACCCTAAATGATCTGCTGGCTGTGTCACAGTGGTCAGACCAATGCTTTTATACTCAGCTGTGGTCTGGTGGTACAGAGCAAAAATTGGTTATATTATAACAGGATACAGCTTGAAAAAAAACAAAGATTAGCCTGTCTAATGATAACAGGTCCAATGAAAATAATCCAAACTGCTGCTATGGAGGTAATGTTGGAATTTCATCTTATGCAGTTGGAGAATGAATCACAGGCCTTGTAAACTTTATATAGGCTAGTCAAATTGATATTATGTTCAGAGATGTTTACTCAGGGGTGCTTGTAATGCACTCTGACATTCAAGTCGAAGAATTTCTGTTTAGAAACTATATATTAATATTGAAACCTCCGGGAAATATAAACCTATTAATGGGACAGGTCACTCTGGTATTGTTGGAAATGAGATGGTGGACAAATTAGCCAGGAGAGAACTTAAATGTGGGTTTAGAAGAGTCTAATCAACAGAAGAATCAGATAGGCTTTTAGTGCAGAAACTAAGAAATATTGGTGTTATAAAAAAATTAAAAAAAGGTGGGTTGGATAATTAAATGTATAACTCATAATGCATGGAACAACCAGGGTTAAAATGTACAAGGAAGGAGCAGTGGTATAAGTTGTTCAGGTCAATCAACCCTTTCCTTTCTTCCATTCCAATAATTCAAGTAGATGGATTTTAAAATGTGATAGTTATTTATTCAACAAAGAATACATTTGTATGATTACTAGAATTTCCTTACTTTTTCATGTCATGTTTGGAATAATTCCAGATAATCGAAATACTAAATTTTTATAAACTGATCTTCATTAATATTACTTCAACATAATTGGTACAATATTTAATATTACAAATTTTAGTATACATGCTTGTAAGAAATTTACCAAAAATTCAACAACCTCTCTTTCTGATACAAATAAAAATACCAAAACAATCTCTTTGAAACTAAAAACAGCATCTGTAAAGATAATTACTAAATGCTTTTTAGAATAAAAATATGTATACACAAAAATTATTTTTTAGACATAGAACTATATATTTAATAAATAGTTTTAAAATAATAGAATAAAAAATTATTTAGATTATAAAAAAAATCGATGAACACACCATAATTTGTTTGCGTAAATATCATTATTATGTAAACTTTTAGGAATCGACAATGATTCTAAATCATAACAGCAACTTTGTGCTCACATCCTCTTGTTTGTAAAATCACCTGACTATTCCAGGTTCAAAAATTTATTGACTATTCCAGGTCTGATAGAAATAATTAAGAGTTATTAACAAGGGTATATCAAGATTAAATAAATTGTTAGCTAAAAAAGTATTAATGCCATTTTTTATTATGTATAATATCTCAAATAACAGATAAAAAGAGAGGAATTTTGATGATGCACTTTTCCATTGTTTTGAAAGAAGATTTTAAAATGAGCCACATTTATGAATAACATTAAACGTGAATTTATTTGAGCTGGCCAATAAGAATATGGATTAATTAATTTTTTTTCTTCATTATCCCAGTTTTTTGACAAATATATTTTACTCTATCAGTCTAACAAAAAAAATATATGCCTTGCCTTTTTGCTATTGTTTTTAATTACTTAATTTTGGAAACAAATACGAAACTTGTATCTATAATGCATGCCAAGACAGAACTCTTTAGATCATAAGATTTATACAGAGAAATTTGGAAAGTTCAAATTCCATATTCGTTATTGCTCAAATTTGACAAAATAACAAAGTTTGACATAATCACTTTAGAAGTATAACAAAATAGCTGAAGTTTAAGATGAAACTGATTCCGCCAGGCCATAAAATAAAACATTACGAATGGTTTAAGTTAGCTTATATTCTACATGGCATATAAGTCTCCACTTATCATATGAAACCTTAGACCCCCATCTCCAATCAATTTTTACTTAAATTAGATCTATGATCAACATTTATTATATATTACATATATATAACTTAATTATTAATCCCTACCTTTTTCACTTCCTTTGCTTTCTGCTCTTCATCAGAACCAATGCTCTCAATATCTGACACATCAGAAAGGTCTTCCCCATGACTTTTGATCTCCACTTTATCAGTCTTATTACCACGTTTGGGCTCAGGGCTTCTAGATTTCGGTGATGGAGAGCCAATAGAGGAATCGGAAGATATATTGCTTCTACCATCAGAATCAGAATGCCTCCTGGGACTGACACGTTTATAATTTGGACTTTTATGTTTCTCACGATTGTGTTTACTTCTAGCATTATCTTTGTGAAGACGACCTTTTTTCAGATTTCTTTCAGGAGAAGACAGATTGCTTCTTTCATTGGAGCTCTTATTTCTAACATGATTTCTAATGTTATGAAAATTTCTCTCATCAGTAGGACTACTGTCACGACTACTTATACTCTGAGCATGGCTATCTGGACTATCATCTCTTGTGTCGTATTTACTTTTTTTTGCTACTGGACTTGAACTACCAATACTACTAGGACTTGCAATTTTATTTCTATTTGGAGATCCTTTATTGCTAGTTGAATCTACTGTTGGAGGGCTTGCCGGCCATTCCTGAGAATTTTCATTTCTGTATGAGGTAGTACGATCATCAGGACTTTTTGATTTATTACCTTTACTTTTCTTATCACGATTATCCTGTCTGGTAGGACTAGAACTATATTTAATATCAGGACTCTGACTACGATTTCGATTCATAACACTACTTCGATGACTATCTTTTTCATGATATACTCTCCTGGGACTATCACTATTCTCAGGACTGGCAAACCTAGCATTTCTGAGTGATGAATAAGTACCATTAGGACTTTGACTAAAACTTCGCTTGCTATATCTGTCAATAGATTCTCCAGTTTTACTACTTGTATTTCTACTGTATTCCCTAGTAGGACTGATACTTCTATCTCTGCTACTTGCTTGTCTATTCCTTCTTTCAGGACTCTGACTATCATCTCTTTCTGATGAGTGCCTAGTGTCTCTTTCAGGACTTAGGCTTACATCCCGGCCTCTAGCTCTAACATTGTGCCTATCAGGACTTTCACTTCTATCTCTGTATGATCCTGGACTATTGTCTCTGCCAGGACTTGGACTGTCATTCCTCACTCCAGAATGACCACTACCTGGAACTGGGCTTGAACTATCTTCTCTTTCACCGATTCTACTATTACCTCTATCAGGGCTGATACTGTCATCTCTTTCTGTAAGTCGGCTTCTGCTATCAGCTCTGTCTGGACTAGCAGGAGATTTAGGAGGAGGTGAATCTGGGCTTTGAGGATAGTCTGGAGTACCTTCAGCACTACTTCCTCCACTCCTGCTACCAGAATACACAGAATGTGGAGATTCAACTCCTTGTGCTGGAGATGCAGGAGGTGAATCTAAATTCCCTCCACCTCTAGGTGGGGATTCAGGAGGTGAGTCAATAGATTTTGCTCCACGAGAGAAATTTTCATCATCAGAAACATCACTGTTTTGACGATTCTCCCAATCCCTTCTTCTACAACCATTTTGGCGGTCATCGCCATCTTGTGAACTGTCCGAGTCCATTTGGTCTCGGTTTGTTATCTGAAAACAGTAAATTCAAATAAAGTAACCCAAACAAATATTTCAAACAACGGCACAAGATAAATTCATTAAGATTTGAAAGATTAAAAAGTTAAGGTATTGAAACAAAAGTTTTGAATTAACATAATCAAAATATTAAATACTCCCCAATATCACCAAACAATAAATAAATAAAATTAAATTATTTGGGGGTACGGTTGTTGTCACATAAATGTGTTTCGTATGTTTTCAACGGTTTCTTACCTTACATTCGCAGTAAAAGTTGAAAACAGATTAACACCACATTCCACATTCGGAATTTACACTTAACTTTTTTCAAACTGCCACGACTCGGCATTATGAGAACTCGCGGGTTTACTAAACAAAACTTTTACTATTGGTTTTTTAAAATACTTTTAATCACTACACAATAACAATACAATACCGGAGTCTTCATACCTGTAAAAACTAGACAATGAAACATTATGACTTCCCTAACCCTCACACTTAACACAGTATTAAAACTCACGAATTTGCACTTGGGCCGATTATAATCAAACTTCCACGATTTTCTTACCTTTTCGTACAATATGGGAAGATTTCGAGTCGAAAATGTTATCTTCAACTCGAGGAGCCCTTTACTCACAAAGTGAGAAAATGGAGACGCTCCTCGTTTATATCGGCTTCATTGGAACTGGTTATGAATACTGAATATAAATAAAAATAAACAACAACTCTCCAGTATTTCTTAAAATTTTATAAGGGTGATAAAAAATCTCTTAGTATTATTCATTCTAAAAATTAAGATAGTATAATCTCTTGAAATGAAAATGAAAACCAAAATTTATCTTGCGTATCTAGTGCTGCCATCTGTAGGAAACTGTTAATAATTTGATCTCTTTTTAACGCCATTTTCCCTTACTTGTTAAGTACAGTTGTATTTCGTGTTAAGTCGAAGCATTATTTAGAAGTTAAGGTAATTGCCGGACTTAAAGAACACTAAGGCATTTTCGTTCTTAAACCTTACAGTATTAAGGTAATCTCTTTTTTTTTCATAATTTCCGAGATTTGATGTAATTATTTGTTCCGAGGTTTTAGTGTTGATCAATAAACCCATATGCTACCGTGAATTGATTGCGGTATTAGACATTAATATAAAAATAATTGTTTCTAGATTACTTTGGTCAGAAATGGGCGGACGAGACGGTAGAAGAGGTGGTGCCAGAGGAGGCCGGGGTGGAAGAGGTGCTGGAAGTGGTGGTCGTGGAGGCAGGGATTTTGGACGTGGTGGATTTGATCGTAGGGATGGTTTTGGAAGTTTAAAAGGCAAACAACCTGGTGGACGCCTAAGAAAACCTAGTTGGAATATGGCTAATTTAGAGCCATTCAAGAAAGATTTTTATGTTCCTCATCCAAATGTCTTAAACAGGTAAACATTTCTTAAACTTATTATGAATTTATGAAATAATCCCAATTTTATTTTACAATTTTTTGACATGGATTCAGTGCTGTTACTTTTTTATTTTTATAAGTAGATGTATAATCTATGTACATGTGGAACCCTTACCAATTTGTTTTTCGACCAGGTTACCCTTCATAATCCACTCTAATCAAAATCATTAGTGATGTTCAGTCCACTATAGATGACAAAACAAGATTCCTTGTACTCATTGACTTATCCAAAGCCTTTGATACCATTCGCCATCCAATTCTATTTCAAATTAAACTCATTATACTTTTCCAGTTCCAGCTCTATCCTTTGGTTTCAATCTTTCATCTCCCAACGTTCACAAGCTGTCGCTATCCCTAATCAACCTTTTTCTTTCTATTTTACTCAGGAGTGGTCCAGTGCTCTAGCATATCTCCTTTTCTTTTAAGTTCCTGTATGAAGGACATCCATAAATCAATCCTTCATTGTTCTCCTCACATCTATGCTGATGATTTCCAAATTTACACTTCCTTTCCTTCCTCTGAGTTGTATGAAGTATTTGCCAAAATACTAGCTGATTGGATAGCCCTAGGTCTAAATCGAATCAGAGCTTAAAGGGATTAAGGTTAAACACTGAATTAAACTGAGGACATTGTCATTAGTTCCAAACTCCACCTCTAATCTATTACCAACATTCCTATTCTGTACTTATATGCCATTACCTTCTGCTACTCAATTAAAAATCTGCATTTTGCTTGACCAAGCCCATTTTTACCCTCTCCCATCTATAACCACACTTTGATTTCTAGTATGCTCCCCTATCTTGACTATGGTTGCGTTGTGTACAGAGGCCTCTCCGAGACTGACTAAAGAATTATAAATAGCTTTGTAAAGGTACTATTTACAAAGCTATTTATAACATCGTGGACTGCGCCAGTGACCGCTATTCCACGCTGCCAACCGCTGTTGGCGTAGCTATTTCGTTGAAACTGCTCTCTGGGGTTGTTATAACCTTCGAACATTTCGCTATATCTTTGAAGATAAAAAGATGGACATCCTATAATAATAAAAATGAACATCCTATAATAATGAACATCTCTTGACTACCGCTTTTTTATTTGAGGAGGAAAAAAAAGAGAAAATGTTGTTCATAAAGAGAAGGAATATCAGTATTTCGATGAGATGATCATCATCAAATCCCTTCTTGGACATTGTTTGCTATTGTCTAGATGAACAACCAAAAAAGAACCAAAAGGCAGGAAACGCATTACTAACAACAATAGTCCCTCTGATATTAGATATTATTAGTTTGAAAAGTAATAGTAATCAATAAATAATTGATTAGTAATTAAATCCCAGCAGACGATGTTTTATAGTTTTATTGATAGCAATCAGTAAATCACCACTTTAATTAAAAAATACAAATCGATTTTTCAATGGGTGGATTTTAGTTTTTACCTGACGATAAAATTTGTTGGATTCTTTAATTCACTTAATATCGTTTGGATTTAGGTATAGTTGTATTTCGCTGTAAAATATTGCTGGTGGAATAAATAAATAAATAATTTTGTTACTTCAACCTTAAAAAAATAATTAACTATTGCATTGTTTCAGTTTTAAACAATATTTGTTATAATTTTGCCAGACTTGAAAGAAACATAGGAAATAAAACGTATCGACGTGACTGTTATCATCAAAACAATACTCTGATATGATAACATAACCTACAACCGCTGAACCGCCAACTGCTCCACTGCTTCAAGAGGAGTCAGATAGGAGCAGCTTAGATAGGACGTCATACCTAGACTGCCTAGCAGTGCTAGCGAAATAGGTTCCTTTCTATTCCACTAAAGCAGTGGTCAACCGCGAGCAGTCACGGTCGTGGACTGCGCCAGCGAAATAGTACCTTAAGATTTGTCCATGGAACCCCGAGACGTTTCTGTGTTTCTCACTACTATACTGAGTTAGTGACTTTTCCTTTCTTTCAGAAGAAAATATTCCTAGGCCCATTCATTTACTTTATCACTTTTGACATAGAATTGTGATGAATGAGAAAAGAAGAAATTATTAGTTCTTATTTATTTATTTTTATTTTTTACATTCTTAACATTATTTCTATTTTTTATGAATTAGAAAGATTCCGTATCACTTTTGTGATAAATTACGGTCTGATTACATACAGAGAACCAGAAAACTTTTTTTTTTTTTTAATTTTTTAAGTCTACCATGTTTTATGTTAAATAATAAGCATAAAAAAGGTTTAATTTAAGTTTCAACAAATTACTTTATAGGAAACTAGATTAAATATAGGCTCTATTTTAAAACCATTTAAAGGGGACTTTTAATAAGTTAAACTACAGTAAGTTCAGTTTTTCACAAAATCAAGTGTTCTTTGCGATTTTTTTTATAGCCTCCACACTGGACTGAAGATACCACACTTTCAGATAAAAAATATGTTTAATGACCTTTAAGTCTATATTAATTATGTTGTGGTTTGTTACAGAGCTGAGATTTGTCCTTAATTGAGTTAAAAGATGTAACAATATTGGGGTTGATCTCTAATTTTACCTTACTAATAATATTTTTACTTAATTAGAGAGAATGTAAATTCAACTTAATAAATATAGACTTAAAGATCATCAAACAAGCAAGATTTTCTGAAAATGTTGTATCTTGAGTTCAGTTAAGAGTTTATAAAACAAATCGCAAAGAATTCCTAATATTATGAAAAACCGTAGTTTAAATGCTTCAAAGTTTCCTTTAAATGGTTTTAAAGAAGACAAGATTTACTTGTTTTTATTTTAAATTTAATCTAGTTTACTATGAAGTAATTGGTTGTAACCTAATTTAAACATTTTTTTAGTTAATGCTTTTTATTCAACATAAAACGTAGTTGGCTTAAAAATTACATAAGTTTTCTGGTTCTTTGCACGTAACCAGACCATGGTTAAGGTAAATTTTTATGTAATCATATATTATCAATTATATGAAATTAATGTCAATCTAATCTTGATAACATCAATTTTGTGATTCTGAAGCAATTTTTGCTTCATGTGGAAATACAATAAATATAATCTCTTAAAAATCTCTGTAACCATTGATTTTATCAAAAAAAAAATGTATAGGATCATTGTTATAGAGATTTTAAAGTACTTTAATATTATACTGAACAATATATGCGAAAAAAAAACTCAAGTTTTAGTGCTATTCTTAAATAACTAAAAAAATATTATTTTTCTGTCTTTACCCCCCCCCCCCCCATCAAAACCCAATATGGGATTCTTCGGGACTTTTTACTAGTTATTTTAGGAAGAGTAATAAACAATTTCTGACAAGTTTCATCTTTCGTTTTTCGTTTGTTTCGTCAATCTCTAATTTTACTGGACTATTAATGTAAGTGGAATGATATTTGTACAGTAGCTAGGTAACTACTTTACAAGTGTTGCTCCACTTTGATAAAGGAGCATAAGATCTTCTGATAATACTATAAATGAAATTTTGATAATAGTCGAATATTGACAATAATATCACAGGTTTAACCTCCTTTTATTTAGATTATGATTTACAACTTCTGAAACTTTCCAACTTATATTTTTCAGTTGAAATTGGGACCTTGATAAACTTTGACTATAATGCTACTTTTGGTTTCTACTTGCTCACAAGAGTTAAACAAACCCTCAACGGGTCCTTTTCAGTTAAGATCGGGTTTCCACCCGTCATAAAGCAACACTTCTAAAGTAGTAATTAAAGAAACTTTAATAATATTGTTCTTTTTTAAAATGGCAGCACAACTTATCAAGTGACTTTCTAGGATGATTAATGGCCATAAGATCTCATGATCACACCCTAGATGCAATTCTGAGAATGACAGTGTGTCTGAATATATATGCAGATGACTAATTTCCAACCTATTACATTCCTATTAATAAATATAAATAATTATGTGAACCAACAATTATCCAAACCCCGCTGTTCTAAGGTGTTTTATCACTACTGCAGTATTTACTATAGTATTTAATCACTTTTTACTTTCACTCACCTATATATGAAATATATAGTAAAGAAAAGTATTGCGATCGTGAATATTTTTTAATTTCAATTTTCAACGGAAATACTCATTTTGAGGTCCCCTGAGTCTAAATAACTAAGTACCGCAAAATGGTCTGTGTGTGTGTGTTAACAGTGTAGCTTCAAAACGAAAAGTCATTTGAAAGTGAAATTACATATTTAAGGTTTTTATATGCTAGGGATTTTACGGTAACTTTTTCGTCAAAATTGACTGACCGGAAGTGGCACTTTATATCATAGGCTAAACACATTTTTACAATTTTCTTGGCAACGGCTCTACCGATTTTGATTAAATTCATTATAACAGTGTAAAATTAAGCAGTTTTAAATAAAATGCAGTTTTTATTCTGATTGATGTTTTCTAACAGGGCTTAAATAACTAATTTTCAATATAGCTTCCTCTAAAGTACCTTTAATTTTTTTCATTTGAAACAATTGACTTTTTCACATTAATTTCTAATATAAAATATGAAAGAATTTGATAATTAACAGAAGGAGAAATAAAACATCATAACAGAGAATAGTTGTAATTGACCGCATCCGAGCTTGCCTGAAAGATTATAACAGGCTTCCATACATAACATGAGCTTAATATAATACGGATTCCGACTATATTATATAAATATAAATACACAGTTTTCATAAATGCAATTTTTGGTATTATTTAATATTTAATTGCATAGATTACACCGATATAAATATTTAAATTTGTATATATAAGGGTACTTATACAAATAAAAATACCCACAATTAAATATAAATAATTATAGCATCTATAATTTTTACTTTCACTTCTCCTTTATCTGAAGATACTTATATCTGCTAAGAGGGTGGTAAGTGAAAATTGTGTGATGCGCGCACCGCACCAGATTTTTCCCTGTACTACTTCAGATGGTTAACGAACATTAAGATTATATTATTTGTCAAATGTCAAGTTAAACAATTTTTATGTTTCCGACCATTAGCTTAACTTCTGCTGGGTTCAATTATCTTAAGGATGCATTTATCTTAAAGCCTTAAGGCACTATTTCGCTGGTGCTACCCATCAGAGAGTATGTCAGCAACTATCCACCTTTACTGCCAATCAAAAGTTCTTGATTCTGTTTGTTTTATCACTTCGTTCCATGGTGGTTTGTTTAATGCTCTTAACAGAGTAACCAATTTGTTTACTTCATTGATGTACAGTGATTTTCTTTTGTCCACCAAATAATTTGGTCTATTGAAATAGTTATATAAGTTCACATGATTCTACACAAACTATAAGAAAACGACAAAAAAAACAAAACAATTTAACCACCCACCTTAGCTAGTAACAATGTATTTGTTTACCTCCGATGAGTTTGTATTTGGTCTCATCATGTTAACTGATTCTCTAAATATTTTCTTTATTTTACATTCATTAAAAAGAAAAGAAATGCCATTTTTATTATTTATTGTTGTTTTAAGAAGATTTTAATCAGGAATCTTTATTACTGGAACAGATGTTTCAACTATTATTTATTTTATTTTTTTCTCGTTAAGGAATTGATATCATGTACATTTAATTAATTTTTTATACCAATTATACCTTTGGCATTTCAGGACAGAAGATGATATTGAAAAATTTCGAGAAAGCAAATCAATTACCATTAAGGGGGACAGAATCCCACCTCCAATAATGCGATTTGAAGATGTTAATTTTCCTGACTATGTTATGAATGAAGTCAAGTAAGTAAATTATAATAAATAAATCTTCTGTTATTTTATATATCTATATTTTAATAATTTTATGTTTTATGTTTAGCTAAGTACTTGAAGATACTGTTGTCCACAATTTCAAATTAGATAACTTCTATTATGTCTTATTCTTTTAATGTTAAGTTTTTTTTTATTTGCTGTTTTTTAAGGTCACATCAACTGCCAGGGTCATTAGCGACGACCTTTTTTCTTAAATATGACATTAATTTTATTTGTCGAAAGAACTTCATCGTTTTTTCAATACCAGTATTTTTTTTGTATGGTGCCTTGTCATCAATTTGGAGTTAGATTTGCTGTTTCCAGAATATTTTCACTGGAATATGTATTCAACAGTCAGATTAGCATTTTCACATACCTCACACATTGGTCGATGTAAGGCAAGAAGTAGGTGGAGTGGGTCAGTTTGGTATATCCAATTCTGAGCCTGCTTATTATAGAACATTCTTTTGATGTCAGGTGTTTTGGAGGATACCAAGCTCGATTTTCGTCCTTGGTCAGATGAAGGTGATTGAGTGGCAGTAATCTCCATTGTGCATTCCAATTGTCGTTTACTTTGTTTGAAATTTCTCTTGTCCATTTGTTGAGAAACATCGATCCTAAAATAAATGAATCAGTGCTTTTCCTTTGCTCCCTGATCGGCTCGTTCATTGCCAATTATGCCAATGTGTGGGGGTACCCAAAACAATATTATTTTTCGACTATTTTTAATTAGTTTCAAGTTCATAAGTTAAATTTTTTTGTACAATGTGTTTAGTTTTGTCATGATAATATTATTTTTCCTTATTCATTAATAGTTCATGAACATCGAAAGATCTACTATAACTCATTTGTCTCGCATCCTTGCAAAGCTTCCTTACATCCAATACTGAGTGCTTCTAAGGTCTGGTCTGGTATTCTTACTAATTCATTGTTTTCATCATCATTCATTCTTGACAAAACATTTATTTCATTCAATAAATAATTTTAAATAGCTTTAAAACTGTTCAAATTGCCCTAAATCTTATTTTGATTTAGTGAGTGGCAGATTGCAATTCAGATAGAGCCATTTTTTTACAACTAGAATGAATATTTTCTTCTGTTGTTTGGTTGAGGTACTGGTTTGAGAACAAAAATATTGTACAATATTGGGGGCCTGGTACATGCCATATGATCGGGAACTCTTTTCTTTGAAAAAAATAAAAAAGAAAAAGAAAATTTGATTAGAAAGAATATTTGTGAATGGCACTATTGTTTTGATGTTAATTCCTTTTATTCTTTCAAAATGAATATCCTGGAAGTGGCAATAAATGTTAGTTGTTTAGTTTGTGAATTATAAATCGTAACACACAATTATTGGCGGGAGGGCCAGTCTCGAGTCTTGCTGCAGAATCTGTCTGTTGTAGCCGCCATAGTCCTGGGACGCGTCCATCCTCGCTGCCTTCGTCCAACTTAAGTGTAGCCGAGGGGTTGTGATTCCTCTGTTGGTGTTCAAGTTAGCCATGAGCTATGCTTGAAGTCGGCAAGCAAGAAAAGACGAGGCCATGTGCTTTGTCAAGCACCTGTATCTCATACTTAGATAAAGCCGTCCTTGAGGGGTGTAAGACATGATAAGATTAGGAGGCCCCTGTGTTCTTAATCAAAGCCAATTTTCAATGTCATCATAATTGCTAAAAGGTACAATGTATATAATAATAATCTTTCTTATTTATGGCTATAGGTGATATTGAGAATTTTAGCTATGTATGAACCGTTTCATATTGAGATTTTTTAGCTATGTTTGAACCGTTTCATGACAACTCCCAATTCATTGGGAGGAAGGGGATGGAGATAAAAGATTTATATGTTTGGTCAATTATCAATGGGCTGCCACCCATCAGACTTTTCTTTGAAAGATCTGAAACATTATTCAGCAATTCTCAAATTCTTTAGAATATTGAGAAATATGAGATGTCTGCAAATAAACATCATAAAACAGTTGCTATTTGAACCTCTAGCACTAGGGCATATTAATGTCTCTTAATCTCATGTTACCAGTGGAATAAATAAAAGACATGAAGAAATAAATAAAGAGCTCTTGTTAAAGAGAATACATTTTAATTTAGGGGAAAATAAAAATTATGCTGGTTTTATGTGATAATAATAAGAATTAGGGCTCATTAATAAAGGTAGTATTTAAGAAACTAGACAAATGAATTAAGTATAGTTCTAAGTAAAAACTGGTTCAAGCTTTTATTATTTAAATCAATATTTCTGTCATTCTTATTCAGTGATGTGGATACTTGTACACTTATGAAAAGGCTTGCTAGCTAAGTAACGGCATCAAAATCAATAAAAGTGAAAGTTAATGAATGCTAGGTTATAAGAAATGTTCCGACAAGCACGACTAAATATACACTGTATATGTCAGATGAGCACTGACCACACCACTAGGTTTTTAATTTATTATAGCTAACTATAAGGTAGCAATAGATAAGGATGAAACTATGTCTTGCAGTCCTTTTAAGGCAGAAAAATAAAATCATAAAAGTTCTGTTGGTAGTGACAGTTCTCTCCTAGCCTGCCATCATTTACCTCTTAGTTCACTTCTGGTAAAATTATTTGAAGTTATTGTTGAAGATGTAATCAATAACCATTATTTAACTGAAGCCATTTTAAAAACCCTAAAATTCATACACACAATTTTATTTTTTTTGACTTACCCACTTATGAAATATAAGAGGAAGTATTATGAACAATTTTTAATCTGGGTAACAAGAAAATAACCACATCACACAAAAAAGTCTGGTGGTGTGTGGCTGCATGTACGTGCAAGCGTGTTTGGACGGTACAGCTCAAAAATGAAAAGACTTATGGCTCTGAAATTACATGTTTAAGTCAGCTGTATGCCTGAGATGCTACTGCAAGTTTTTCATTCAACTTAACAAACTGTCACATTCTGTCATTCATTTTAAAAAATTTACCATTTTCTCAAAACTGCACTAATTATTTTGATTAAACTCGTATCAATATAACATTGAATGGCCTTCGATATCAGTTAGGTTTTATCCTCATTGAACTAGTCTGATAAGGCTTAAATGCTGATTTCCAAATTACTTCCTCTAATAAACTTTGATGTGGTTTATTTAATAATTATTAAAAGTAGAAAAAAAGGAGAAACTTATGAGGATTGACAACAAATTTTCAGAAATAAGAGTAGTAGAATAGATTTTTGATGTACCATTAGCAATTTTACAAAAATGAATATCTGGCGTACAAGATCATAGAAAGTAATGCCCTTAGAGAGTGACGAAAAACTAATGAGTTTTAATATTTATAGTTGATGATGTCTATTTTATATTATTAAATGGTTTATATAGACGCTCCTGTAGAAACTAAATGTAATTTCAATAGAAAATTTTTTTTTTTTTCAGCTTGATATACCTGAAGTATATAGATCACACAATTTTCTTAATTTATATTAATTGTTTTAAATATTTGTTTATAATTAAAGTAATATAAGGTAATACACCATTCCCATAACTCCTGAATCTGTTTGTGGAATCAGTCTTAGTACTGCCAGAAAAGGGTTAGAGAGACATTGTTAAAAATTTAAACAACACTGGACCAAGAAGAAACTACATTCGAAGCTGTTCCTGAAAGGTCCATGTGATAAAAGAAGTAAGCTGCTACTGAGTCTGGACAGAGCAGCTCTAAAAAAGCAATCTACACTGGCTACTATAAGTTGAATTATCACATGTTCAATGTTTGAGTGACTACGAACCCGCTGTGCAGATTCTGTCCGGAGGAGAATGAAACAACCGTTCACATCATTTGTCGATGTGATAGATTTGTAAGGCTTAGACTAGAGCTATTTGGGGAGGAACGAATGATCATCTCAGTAGCTATGAGTGTCAATCCAACAAGTCTATTAAGATACGCAGAAGCGACCAAACTAATGTTTTAAGAATAAAATGGACAGCGTAATGGTGCGCAATAGATCTATTATGGTTGCTGTGCAATAAGCCAACAAAAAAAAATATATAAGGTTTATAAATTTAAAAAATGATAATTTCTACTGGAAGTAGGGTTGTAAGTGAAAGTTGTGTGGTGCATTACTCACATCAAGATATTTTTGTTTACATTTGTCTTGTCAAGTTTATGAGGCTTACTTACTTTATTTCAGAAAACAAGGATATGATGAACCTACACCAATTCAAGCCCAAGGTTGGCCTATAGCATTAAGTGGGAGAGATATGGTTGGAATCGCACAGACTGGTTCCGGTAAAACTTTAGCAGTGAGTTCAGTAAATTCCCTTGGTGATCTTAATGCATAAAGATTTTTTGTTAATTTTATTCTCTATTTGTTTCTAGTATATTCTTCCAGCTATAGTTCATATAAATAATCAACCAAGGTTGAGACCAAGGGATGGTCCTATTGCTCTCATTTTAGCTCCTACACGTGAATTGGCTCAGCAAATTCAACAAGTTGCCAACGACTTTGGATCTCATACTTCAGTTCGGAATACTTGTATTTTTGGTGGTGCACCTAAAGGAGGGCAGGTACATAATTATTCATTTTTCTCATTCTTGCACTTATAATTTTTAGAATTGTTTAACCCTTTAATTGCTAACGATGGCTCTAGCCACTGCAACTGAAGAATTTCAAAGTTTATTATATTCTCTAGCTTATTTATAGGAAGTAGTAATTATTTTATGAATCATCATACATTTTTTTTCTCCTTTTGAAGGCGAGAGACTTGGAAAGAGGTGTTGAAATTGTCATTGCAACTCCTGGAAGACTTATAGATTTTCTTGAAAAAAATACAACTAATTTGAAAAGATGTACATATTTAGTATTAGACGAAGCAGATAGAATGTTAGACATGGGTTTTGAACCTCAAATTAGGAAAATAATAGAACAAATACGTGTAAGTATATATCAAATTTACACTTAATGTCTTAATTTAATTTTTGTTTATTAAATTGATAAAATAATATGAGCCATCATTTTATAGCCTGATCGACAAGTATTGATGTGGTCTGCTACTTGGCCGAAGGAAGTCCGTAACTTAGCTGAAGAATTTCTTCACAATTATATCCAATTAAATATTGGATCATTAGAGTTATCTGCTAATCACAATATCCAACAATATGTTGATATTTGTGATGAATATGAAAAACCTGACAAGTGAGTTTTATTTTCATTTTGAAATGCTTACCTAATCTAATCGGTTATCAATGATTGGTTGAGGGTCAAGACCCAGTATATTAGATTTTGCTGATTAGTAATGAAATGGATTCATTAAAAATTACAAGCATTTTTTTCAGAATGTGTATATTTTTCTGAATTTTCATTTTCAACAAAAATATGTACTAGTTCATAAAAATATTTTAAGACATTATTTTACTGAAACAATATATAAGTGATTATATATATGTTTTTTTTTTCAGGCTTTGTGATCTCTTGACAGATATTTGTAGAGAATCAGAATCAAAAACTATCATTTTCACTGAGACCAAGCGAAGTGTTGATGAAATCGTTAGGACAATAAATCGAAGGGGGTAAGTTTATGTTAGAATATATTTATCTCATGTTTCAATCATTTTATGTTGTGTCTCCTTTCTTATCTCATAAGTTTAATTCAACTTAAACTTGTCAACCACCCATGAATCCTTTGCAAAAAAGAATATACTTAACAGAGCCACTTACCAGGATTCTTCTGGGAAATGTTAAAACCTTAACATAAACTCTCCATTTCCACATTTAGGTCTCATGGGCCTGTCTAAAGATTATATAACTTTTAAAAGGAGATTAAACAGTAATTTTTTTTTTATATTACACACACCTCTATTGCAAAATTAATACATTGTCCATAATTGATGTAAGTCTAGCTGGCTGGTATCAGGTTAGCGTCAAAACTTGAGAAACAATACAGCATTTACTTAATAGTTCGTAGGATAATAAGAGATATGAAGTAGGGACGGGTTTAGGGAGTCATTATAGAACTCAAGTCTTACTTTTTTAGAAACTTTGAGTTTTTGTTGGAAAGATATCAGATCTTCTCTCTGATATCAGAGCGATTTAGGATGAGAGTACTAACACATGGAGTAGGACCAATAAAGAACTGCTTATAGAAACTGGTCAATCTATATCTCATGCTATGAAAGCAAAGAGGTTAAGTTAGATGGGCTTTATTAAGCTTGGAACAGTCCTTGAGGAAGCCTGTATATTGATCCTAATGGATAGATCGATTAACAAAGATGCTGTAGAGCTGATGTTGACAACTGTAAAGCAATAGCCCAAGATGGGCAGGGATGGAGATAGCTTATCAAGTTGGAAAAAGATCTACTAAGTTTATATAGCCAACAGAAGAATATTTATCGATCAAAAAGTCATAGTTAAAATAGCATAAAATGTAATCGCTACCCATGAAGTGTCTTGGGTTCAATACTTTGTAAAGAAGTACTGTTTTTTGATCAACGGTTGTGCAAGTGGTTGATTTGACCGAGACCATGCTCAACCACCAGTTTTGCTCCCTTAATCAATTATTTAATTAAAGCTTCCCATTTTGTGTAGAGGCTGGGTGTGCCCCAGGAGGTCTCCTGACCCCAGGGTCGATCCATAGTTAGCAAAACTGAATGAATAATTTACCTGTCATCAGCAAGATTCAAACCTGGGACCTTGAGCATTGCAGGTCAACGTCCTACCACTGAGCTACTCCACTCCCCCTTGACGAATCCATAAGGACAAAAAACAGATTTAAGAGATTGCTACAGAAAATTAAAAACATTTGTTAATAACAAATCCCTGTATTTCTTCCTTTTATTTATTTTTCTCAATCATTCCTTATCAACATACAATACTGAAACGACAAGAAACCGCTCCTCATTTCCCCGATGCTCCAACACTTACTAGACAAACGCTCTTAATTTCAATTAATTATAAAAGACTCATTTATATGACTATAATTAGACCTATATGGACATACAGAGTCGTGCTTTGGGGCTCCACCTAACCATCGTATCCAATCCAAAATCCTTAATGTCCTAGATTTGGCCAAAAATAAAATCATTCATAAAGACCTTAATGTTTCATATGTCGCTGATTTAGCTCAAACAAGATATGTATCCTTTAATGACAAATCCACTTTGTTCCAGCCTTGCTTCTTCCTCAATTTCTGATAATCCTTTTTTGTGAAGATGGTCTCATGATTTTCTTACTTAAAACTATTCAGGGAGTTCTATCATTGGGTAATATTTCCACAAATCTGTTTATGTAATTACTTGATTTACTCATATTTACTAGTTGTATTTATTTACTACAGTCGTAAATTTTAAAAATTCCTTTAAAAAAATAAATTTATAACTTCCTCAGTTTCTTAAAATAGAACCAGTCTGTGGTCACGTAAGTGCAGAATAGTGATTTTAATAATGTTCTGTGTTTGATATATCATGTTGGCCATTTTTTTCTTTTAAACAAATATAACTTTTTGATAAACCTTCATGGGTATTGACATCCATCAGTGGTAAGGATAAGTTCATTGTACTTCAATGTGGATAACTTTCTAAGCACAAATGTATTCTTATTTGTTTGATATTAAACTATCTATTTTTGACACTCAAATTGAAAATTATGAGTCAGTTTTTTTATTGTTATATATTTATGTTTATTAGGTATTTTATTATTAAGTTAGGTGTTAGTTATTTTATTTTATTAATTTTTTTAGCTGGAAAGCCTGTGGAATCCATGGTGACAAATCACAACAGGATCGTGATATGGTTTTAAATGGTAAATAAGTTTGGTTTTTTAAATTATAGTTGCATGTAATGGGAATGATATAATAGACAAAATAATATTATAAATAACTAACTAATCAAATAAATAAATTTGATAGCTTATTTTGGAGTGAGCCATTTTATTTGGTTTGCTTCTTTTATTTTGTTCATCTGGAAATTAGTTAAGTGGTACTTTTTTATGTGAAATAGCACTGAGTTCCCCATAACATAAATTTATAACCAGTGAAGTAATGCTTGTAAAAATAACTTAGCATCCACCAAGGTAAACTGAGTTGTCAAACAAATTTTGTCATTATAGTTAGTGTAAGTGGTCGGGCACAGGTTCGCAAAGGTAGAAAACTGGGAATTTTGGAGAAAAAATGAGACACCTGGTTTTAAGATGTTGGGAAATTTAACACGAGTAAAAATGAGGATAAAAAATTTGCAAGTCTTATAACAGTCGTATTATTAAACTTCTAAAATCATTTCTTAAATATGAAAACAGATTGACAACCTGTTTTTTAAAAAGAAACATAGTATTCAATTGCATGTCTGAGTTTAATTTTGGTATAAACAAACTTGATTTTTTTTATTTTTCTACCTATACTAGGTAAGGAAGGCATTGCAATCGGGTCAAATTTCCGACATGTGGTTTTTGACGGATCTATACGTTTCACAGCCCCCTGAGCCCGAAAAACACATTTTTAGCCATTGGTCTGTTTGTCTATGCCAAGATTTTCTCGGGAACTACTGAACCGATTTTTTTGCTTCTTTTTTTATTTTGTAGGGTTTTGACTACTGATGCCTGTGACAGAAATTCGTTGCTCCATGCGCAATATCTTGCACGCAATAAATGAAAAACATGTTTTTCTATTGACTGTAGCGCAAAAACGGCTCTAACGATTTTGATGAAATTTTTCGAAGATTTTTCTAATCATAGTCCTTTCAATTTTCTTATATAAACTAAATTTCCGAAAAAATTAATTTTGGACAAATATTAGCGTAGTTACAGCTATTCAATTTCCAATGAAAGATTAAGAGTTCATTTCCTGGTGTCAGAAAGGGGTGAATGAGAGAATAAAGATGAATAAGTGAAAGTAAGAAAATCTGTTGCCCGCATCACACATTCTTCACTATTTCCTCTACTTTTAACATAAATTATTGTTTGACAATACTAAGCTATGGCAAAAAGTTTTTGATCAGCAATATTAGTGAGTATTGAAATTTTTACACTGATATACCTTAAGCCGGTTTCATTGCTTTAGTTTATCAAATAAATCGTACTAAAATCTTTTGTTTGATCAATTTTCAGGAAATAGATTTAGTTCAATTCTTTTTTGTTTCTTCATGAACATATGTAAAGATATAAAAACTTTTCTGAAATAGGTAGGAAAGTCGTGTGAGTGGACACACCAGATATTTTAATTCTATGATTTTGGGAGAAACTGGAAAAGAAGGGGAGGTCTAAAAACTATCTGCCCTGAGTGCTAGATATCGGAAATTGGGGTCTGCAAGTGATAAAATAATTTCAACTTAAATCAAAGTCATAGTATGGACATAACTTTTTTTTATGTCTTATTTATTCTTTATGTAAGCTTCCAAATATGGAAACAAAGTTCTGTATAATTAAGATTGATTTATCTAGATTCAGTCTACAGGGTATATCACAAGCAAATGACGATATTTAAGAGATTGAATCCCCTACTAAAGTTTACTAAGATCTTGTAATTATCAAATCCCAAAACATTTTTATTTTTATTGAAATTAATTAAAAACCAACCATATGTCATTTTTCTGCTGGGATGAAGTTAAATTTGACCAGGGATTTGTATTATACATTCAACTTCCTAGTAGGAAAAGATGTACTAATAATTGGAACATTGTTATTTGAACAATATATAAATCTTTTTTGTTTTAGGAATTGTGAAATAATTAAGTAATGTCATGCTCATTTTATTATTCATAGAAATCAATCGATTCACTTTAATTTATTTCAAAGCTCTCAAAATTTGTATCTATTTATTGAAGGAAGTTTTTCGACTTTTCAACAACATATCAGTGATAAATAGTCAGGACGCAGTAATTTCTAATATTACAAATGACTGTCCTGGCTAATTATCACCCATTTTATCTATTTAAATATTAATCAACTGTATGTTGTTATGTATCAATTTATTTCTACTTTTTCATAGCTTTTTTTTATTTTTCATCAAAATGGACAAAAGTCATCCAACTTTCAGGTCTTTTAAATTATGTGAGGGAATAATAATCTTTCTTCTCATGCTTTTTTCCCCCTAAATGACTGGCATTAAAAATTCTTTTTTTTTCTTCTAAGTTGTTCATGCTATTTTTGTTTTTTACAGATTTTCGTACTGGCAGGGTAAACATCCTCGTAGCAACCGATGTTGCTGCCCGAGGTTTGGGTAAGTATGGAACTGGTGTATAACAGTATCAAATTGTTGGAAAAAATTCTAAAGTTGAGAGGGGGGACGCACTATAGAGGCTATACCATGTTTGAGGAAAGACAAACAGGAAAACCTTATTAATTCTGAGAGAACCTCTTCATATAAGATCACAGCATGATGTAATTTAATTTTTCTTTCACATTTCCTTTACCTTATGGTAAACGATACAATGGTTTCCTCCTACAAAACAATCAAACTGAAACTGTTATCATTCTAAATGACTGCTTATGAATTTTCTGCTTGATTGATTTATAGTCATTTGTTATGAGCATCAATGGGATTTTATTTTTTCAGGTTTATTTTATTCAAATATTTCAATGAGTTCAGATAGATTTAGACATAAAAAAAAAATAAATAAAGAACTTGCAGCTGAGCTCTGTCACTAAGGTTAAGAAGTCACTAAGAAACTTTAGTGTTTTCTCCTCATTTTTGTTAAGAAAACAGATGAAAACTGATTTAATTGTCAATATTTAAATGAATTCCTCTAAAGAAATTTATTTTCGTGTTGTACATTTTCTTTTAAATATAATTTACTTATTAGTTCTGTTTAATATCTTAGCTTGATAATATTGTTAATGAATGAGGTTTAAGGTCTAATTTACAAAATTGATGAAAATATCCAAATGGTGGGTGAAAAAAGTTAATACCTCTATAAGGTGATTCTCTGTCACCTTTTCAATTCGTGTTCAAATTTTCAACCCTTTAATTTTAACTTAATTTAGAGGAATTCAAAACTTTAAAAACTGGAAATGTCCAAATATAATTTTGATCTGCTGAAATTTTCCCTGATTTTGATGGCATTTTTCTGCTTTGAAAATAGCTACATTCAATGAACTTCAGCTCTTCTGATCCATTGAGGACTGCTAGAAGTGCCCTAATGTAGTGGAGATAAAAAAAAACTTAAAAAAAAAAAATTTAATAACCATGTTTTCAAATCTAAGTGGATTTAAAATCCACTTCACCCCCTCCCATGACCTGACCTTCGCATGAGTGCAAAACTCCATTATTTTCTAGGGAAATATAACAAAAATAGTATTTTAATGAATCTATTTAGAATTATTTATTTAATTCAACTATCTTTAAAATTTAAATTGTTTTTGTGCTCGATGACCCAGTAATGAAATTAGTATTATTAATATGGTACTAAATTTGACAGTTCAATTGATTTTTTATGAATTCATCTGTGATGTTATTGTATTGTAAGATTTATATCAAATTAACTATAACACTATCTTTAATCCAAGGCTCGCTTTAAAAATAAATATATTTAATTTAGATATCAACAAATTATTGGGTACAATTGTCCCTAATGAATACATAAATTTTTAATTTTTTAAATAAAAAGTTCAGTATATATAGAATAAAGACATTATTTAAAATCAAATACAGTGGACCCACTCTATAACGTGATACATTGGAAATTAAATTATCCATGCAAGAGTAAAGGTAGTAAATTACAAATCATTCGAGGGTAGAAAAGAAACTTTTATCTGAAAAAAAGTAGTTGTTTTAAGCTCTTTTTTTTCCTCTCGAAGTTTGTCAATTTTATAGTAACAACTTACATTTTAAGGGGCTCAATCGAAATTTATAATAATTTGATTGTTACGCTCTTTGTTGTTAGTAGTCATTTTAGGTCCTTTTGTCTTTTCTGATGTGATTCAGTTCTACTGTTTTCTCTGCAGATATACAGTCTTATCAACAAGACTTGTATATACCTAAAATTCTTTTAAGTTGATCTCAGTCCCATGGCTTGAAATCTGGTGTTGATTTGTTTTGGGCCTGATATTTCATCATAAATTATTGGTCTTCGAAGAGTGGTCTATCTTCATAACAATACTAGATTTCGTTACTGGATTCCCTTGTGTGACTATTCTTTTGAGACTTTTTCTGTTAGATTAAGAAAATTTAAAAGCAGTGATCTTTGAAGGTGAAATATATTTAAAAAACTATGGTTTGAATGAGTTATATTTGACTTCCATGATATTCATCCTTATCGCCACATGTCGTTTCTAATTAATTAACTTAGTATTTCATCATCGTACACTTGTATACTTCAATTATATGAGATTATTTTTCATTTTTACTTCTAGAATCACTTTTGAATAATATTTATTAAACTAATCAAAACTTGCGTTATAATGAGGGCCCATTGTATTTAACATTTTATTGTAAAAACCCTGAGAATTTGAAAAAAGTTATGAAATGTTTAATGAAGGGGTGGTTATATTATTATTGGGATGCATTCATTTTAAAATCTGATATACCAACATGTTTCATTCATCCTACTGCAGTGTACTAAAGGATGATCTAGTTCCTTTAATACATTTTTCAAACCAAATTATGGATAACTTCATCTTTTCAAAAGACAAATCTCAACCACGCTCTGTTCGAATTTTCAGGGTTCTTTCTTTGATTGCATAAATTTTAGTTTGGATAATTTTTTTAATTTATTTTAAAAATAATTTATGTTTCCATGATTAATATGCAGATATAATAAGGCAAATTTAACAGCTCAACTCTCCATTTCTTTCTTTATCTGCCAACTGATATAATTATTTTTGCTGTGTAGTATGGTAAAAAACGTTTAATTTCGAATTTTCAAGTATTTCTTTGTATTAGTAATAAAATTACTAAAAGTTATTAAGCTACATGAATGATCAGTTAAGTACTATGAATTGCAAATGTGACTGGTTTTGAGCTTTCTTTGAGTAGAACCAAATCTGAAACCAATACTACTCCTGAACCAATTCTACATTTTAATGTATTAATATAAAGCATGTATAATTTGCAATGAGCACAAGACCTTATAATGTGTCCACATAATACCACTGGCAAAGCCACTAGTGGTATGCATACATCAGTGTTCAATGACACAGATCAACATGTGTGCAATTTGTTATTAGCGCTGCCTTGACAATCCATCCATCTGAGTTGATCTCCATGAAAGAAAGCTGCTGACAGCTTTTAGAGCGTGGATATGTTGGTGATACATAAGGCATGCTCAATCTGTTATATTCATAAGGGACAGCTCTTCTTTCACTATTGTACATATATTTAAATGTACAAGAATAATGAACATAGTAGGACTCACCATTCCCTTATAAGAACCACGTTTTTAAAAATTTATTAAACCTAGTAGAAATAGGAGCAGGCTTTATTTCAGGGAAAAATGAAGTAAAATTGAAACTATTTCTCACTTCTTGCTGGAGGTAAGCAGTCTTTCCTGTTGCAACAAGCGGCTTTTCTGGTGGCTTACATTGGCCATGCTTTTGGTCTAGTGCGATTTTTTTAACAATATTTAAAATTTTGAAATTGAAGAAGTAGTTAACTGCTATGCTTACTTGTGAATTATGGTAGTTCTTATTTTCAAATACAGTTATTATATTTAGTTATTCTATAACGAAATGATTTTGCTCATGTCAAGTTGAAGGTTGCTTATGAATGTACTATTTATTTGAGAGGTGGTCCTTTTATTTATAATTGTTAACTGTTTTTTACAAAGTTCCCTACTTTATTTTACTATCACTTAGCAAATGGGCAGATTATCTACAGGCACCAAACTATTTTGTCCAGAATGAGAAGACTAATTTATCATATCCAATTTGTTTGTATGAATTAACTACCTATATTTTTTTTTTTTTTTTAATGAAGAGAAGAATAGTGGGGTGGTCAGTCAAATAAGAAGACAAAAATAAATGATAATATTTATTTTGACACTTGCCGACGTTTCTTCCTGAAGTTCAGGCCTTCGTCAGGGCTGTCTCCAAAAAGTGTTAACACAGAAATGACTTCTCTGTTAACACTTTTTTTTTTTTTTTTTTTTGTCAGAATATTGGTATTTCTGAAATTATATCTTTATAATTTCAATAATTGTATATGATATGGCAACAAGAATAATAATTCACTTGCATTTCATTGTCAGTTTAATACAGTTAGTTACCTATGTTTAGTGTCAATTGGTGGAATTTGAATTACTTTCATTTAAAGATCCTTTGTTTTTTTTTTTTTGTTTTTTTTTTGTTCTTTTCCCAAATCCTCTGTGAATAAATAGAGACCAATAAACATGATTATATTGCCATATTAATTTACTTGTGATACAGATTGTTGATTAGAGAATTGTTAATGAAACAGGAATTTGTTGAGGGGTTTAGATAAATCAGATCATTTACCTTGTTAACGGTAGCTTTGAAATGGGGGATTGTTTTTACAAAAATCGTGAGACCTCTGCCTGGCTGATCACCAGATTGGTATGATATGTACTGATTTATTTAATTTTTGAACATATCCAGACTTCAAAAAATTGACTTATTCCTATTTTCAATTTTCTTCTCCCCTTAGTTTTTTTTTTTTTTTTTTGTTAGTTAATTATAACTAAGTTTATTGCCCTTCTGCCAGATTCTTATGCTGACAGATTTGATTTTTTTTTATTTATTGATTTATTTCATTGAAGTCCTAGGAAGCCACTTGTGAAAGTTTACAGGATTTCTGAAATCTGTATTTCAACTGGATTCAATTAACATTGTTTCAAAACCAAAAGAGGAGATCCTAAAGTAGCAGTTTGCTGACAATTTCAATTACAAACCAATTTCATCCATTGAATTAGGAGTTGAAAACCTCAATTGAACCGGCATTGTAAACCATGTCTCCTATGAATGCTGCATTATGAAATTTTTATATAAGTACGTTCCAACAAGTCCTGACCATCAGTAAGGATGACTGGCTTTGGCTGGTTTGTAGTGTTAGTTTGAGCTTCCAAAACCACCGTTACAAATTATTTGTTTAAATCATGCCAATTAGTACTAATTGGCAGTGCCGGCCTTAGAAGTTTGGCACCCCTGGACAATAACATCCCTCTCCTCCCCCTCCCCCTCCAAAAAAATTAAATATATTTGTGAAGCTGTTTTATGTTCAGATATATTTAATTTTCATTTCATTCAAAATGTATTTAATTCATTTGC